TCTCTCTCTCTCCCTCTTTAAAAAAAAAAAAAAGAACTTCAATGAGGACAGCTGGGCGGTAGCCAGGTAAAACAATTGAGGGGAGAATATTCTGGGCATACCTGTCTTCTCAGCAAGTGCCTGGAGTCAAGACCTCATCTATGCCAAAGAGTGACACCCACATTCCCCTTGCTGTCCAGAGGTATGCTAGCTAGGACTCTCTGCTTTAACCCCAAGGACCTCTGGAAGACCTATGCGCTTCTTGACTTCCTAAGAAAGGCTGGGGATTTCTTCAGACTCAGGATTTCTTGTTCATCCACTGCTTTTGCCTCAGGAACTATTTGTGTTCTGGAATGGTGTGGTGAGGCTGTGGGGAGACCAGTCCTTTTGGGGAGACCAATCTGCTCTGGGATGGACTTACTGTTTGACTGGGGGCCAGGCACCTCTCTCTGGGACTTGACTTGTCCATCTGTAAAGTGGGAGTCGAGCCCTTGCAGCTTGCTTTGACATGCTCTGTCAGGACTGTGCAGCACCCAGTAGTGGTTAAACCCCTGGCCCTGGGTTCGAACCCTGCTTCCACCATTTATGGGATCTTGGGCAAATCATTTCTCCTCCCTGAGGCTCCATTTCCGCATCTATATACCAGTGGCCTTTGCTCCCCTCCCTCTGGATTGTATGAGGATTAAATGAGATCATGGATATGAAGCATCTGAGGCTGTGCCAGGCCCAGTTAATGACAGCTGCTGTCATTAAATTTTGTAATGGATATGAAATGGAACATGTTAGCTCTGCTGATTGCCACGAAACATACTACCATCCTCAGGGCTAAGCACAATCTCCACAAACCATCAGTACAATCTCCACAAACAGCATCAGAAGGTTTTCTGACTGGTGGCCAGGGAAACACCCAGAGCTGCGTGGCTTCGCTTTGGCAGCAACTGAGGAAACTCCCCATAGGGAAACATCTGCCGGGTAGGCGGTAACTGTGCTAACTTGTGGGTATGAGGATGATTCCCAGACTCCGGCCTGCAAGGGTAGCCTGGGATAGAGACTGGGTGGCCAGACTCCAGGGGAGGAGTGGAACTGTCTCTTGCCTTTAACTG